GGTCAACCAGAGAAAATGGCACTACCACTTGATGACATTCTCAAAACCAATCAATGCAGCCACCTTTGCAAAAGACCACAGTAAGGGAACGAGACACCAATCTCTTTCTGTCTTAAATTCTGAATTTATGATGCTGAAAGGACAGCGTGGGGACTCCTCTTTGATTTAATCACTCACCAATGTTCTGTTTGGGGACAGACGACTGGGCAACTCACCAAACCAGACCAAATTAAGCCTGGAAATTGAGGGCAGCAATTGGCATGTTATTCACTTGCTGAACAATTGCTCTGATTCAAATCTTTAGCGAGTTTTCTTCAAGCACTCTTTTCAAAATGTGGATTCAAACTGCAGCTTTGGGTCTAAAGGTAGCTATTCAAAGCTATGATTAATGGTGAATCTTATTACTATAGGCACTCTTCAAACTCCTCATTTTGACCTCTTTTTAATGTGGGAAGATAAAAGACTTCAGTGAATATCTATTTAAACAAACAAACAAACAAGCCTATATGTGACGTATTTTGGGCATTAATTCATTCTTCAGCAATCTAGTGTCCCTTGAATGTTACAACTCCCAGAATTGATCACTGATTGGGAATTTTAGGACTATGGTCTCAAAACATTTGAGAGGCCACACATTTGGTGAGCTTGCGCCAAATAGATATCAATCTGATAAACAATAGAGTGTATGTGTAATTAATTTCCAGATGCTAAAATAAAACGACAGCTATTGCTTTACATGGCTTAAATAGGCACTTTAATTAAAGTTGGTCTGTCACTCACAAGAAACCATAGCATATCAAGTCAAATACAATCCCAACATTTGAAATCACTATGTCTGAGTCCCATGACTGGGGGAAAACAAGGGGAGAGGTGTGGCATCAATGGTAAGGCTATCATATTGGGCCGAAAAAATCCAGACAGCCACTAGATGGTCACAGAATAATTGGTAAGCCTTTGCTGCCCCCTAATAGCCAACCAGAGTCTTGCCACCTATATATAGTAGCTTAGCCCCAATCCATATCCTACTTCATGAATTTTCATCATGCATGGCTGGTCAATAGTTGGAAGCAAAATAATAGAATGTCTGTATGGTTTTTGCTCAGATACTACAGGTTAATGATATTTCAATTGAGGAAAGTACAGACTGTGTCTCTTGCTTATTCCAGGCACCTTTCAGTCTATTCTGTTCTGTGATCCTCCTGCCACTGCTTGGTTTACCTACCATAAACTGGAGAGGCTGGGAAGGAAGGTAAGGGAAAGCAGACAGAAACTATCAAGAGATAGAAGGCGAGTCCATTGGTAGCTTATCTCATAAACCAGTGTTTTTCAAACTTGTCAATTTTAAGATATGTGGACTTCAACTCCCAGAATTCCCCAGCCAGCTTGGAGAAATATCTTAAAGTTGCCAAGTTTGAAAAACATTGCCATAAACAGCTGCCCAGCTCAGGTGGCGAGAAACCTGAGAAGAAACATTTCAAAGCATTCTGAGAAACTCTACCTTAAGGGGCTGACTATAAACCATGCTTGGAAATTCTCTTGCAGTTCCCAAGATTCTACACTGAACCCAAATGCTCGCATTTTGGGGGGGGGGGGGGCCTTTGACTCAGCATTGACTCCTGGCAACTGCCTGGACAAGTCCCTGCAGTTCTTTTGGCAAGATTTTCAGAAGTGATTTGCCCTTGCCTTCTTCTTCCTAGGGCTGAGAGAGAGTGACTGACCCAAGATCACCCAGCTGGCTTTGTGCCTATGGTGGGACTAGAACTCACAGTCTCCTGGTGTCTAGCCCGGTGCCTTAACCACTACACCAAGCTGGCTCTCAAATGCTTGCATTAAAGTCATCTTACTGAAGTCTGTGTAGTTGTTCCTTCCTGGATCTTGCCCAGCTGATGGAACTCAATACCGATCCTCAAAGGTTTTCCCTTAAAAAGGTCTCTAACTTCTGCACCACACTTCTACATCTTTTACACTTGCAGTCCACTCTTCTTCTGGCTACATCCCTGTTCTCCATCACCAGCTGAGTTTGCTATTACTCAGTGATGCATAAATTATGTCCGTGGGTTCTAATTATTTGGGTGTAATTGGCTGTAATTTGGCTGGGGCTGCTACTGTTCCTCTAATGGTACCATTTAAGCAATAGCATGTTCAAAGCATTTAATAAACAGTATCTACTATAATCTTTTTAGGATTTACAAGCAACTGCACAGCAAAGCCAGAAGGCCAGTTAAAGCCATTCCTGAGGTTATGAATTTCAGATACAGGGACACTTTCATCATCCACTTAACCCCAGCTGATTTCCAAAAGTTAAATTCTGATCTCAACACTGGATGGAAAGCCACTATGAAATCCCAAATCCATAGATGATGATGATGATAATGATGATATCAATTTATATAGCTGTCCATCTAGATTGAGGAGTTGAAATGAAGCCGAGCTTGACTTGAAAGAGACAATTTTAACTTGAGGACTAATTCCTTCTATGACGTGGGATGTAGCTTTGTGAAGGATATGATCCCAAAAAAATCAACTCATGTTGAAGTTTCTCAGGAAAGACAAATCTATTTTCTGCTCCTGGGGCCACATTTGGCAAAAACTGGGTGGCTGCTGGCTCAGTTTCCTGCCCAGGGAAGCCAAGCTAGTTTTGCTTTGTATCTTCTGCTGACAGGCAAAGACATTTTTTAAATTTCTAAGTAGCTTTTGCAGTTTCAGATGATTTACTACTGCACCAAATCCCTACTTTATTCCTAATGTTGTCATTTTTATTTAATTAGATTTTAACTCTTGAGGTTTAATGTTTTAATTATAATCTGGCTATGTTATTTGTACTCATATTTTGTGGGTTTAGACCAGGGTTTCTCAACCTCAGCAACTTCAAGATGTGTGGACCCCCAGTTCCATAATACTGGGAGTTAAAGCCCACACATCTCAAAGTTGCTGAGGATGAGAAACACCAATTCAGACATTGTTTTTGGTAGAAAGGTAAAGTATTAAGTAGACAAAGAAATAAACAAGGGAGGCCTAAATACCTCCATAGTGAACCAAAGGGGTTTAAGTTAAAGCTGACCTCACTTAAAGCAACCTCAATTTGGTGCTGTCCCAAAGTTTTCATAATTATGTTTGTTTGTTTATTTATTTATTTATATCACATTTACATAGCTGCCCATCTCAGGTAGTGATTCTGGGAGGCATACATAATAAAACAATCCAAATACATAAAAAGCCATTAAAATACAACCAAAATCAATTAAAAAGACAAAAACAAAATGGCGAAAAAATATACAAGGGAGTGCATTCCAATTAACCATCATATAACCATCTAGCTGGCTCCACTCTCTCATGGGGTCCCAGGCCAGTTGACAAAACCATGTTTTAAGGGCCTTCTGGAAGGCCAGCCGGGTTGGATCCAGCCTTACCTCGAGTTTGTTGGCAAAATTGTTGACTGGCAATTTTGGTATAACACTTTTGGAAACACCACCTTGGTGAAGATGGATAAAGGAATAGAAGGGAAAGACTGATGAAGTACAGATAGTCCTTGTTTAGTGACCATTCACAGTTATGACAGTGATGAAAAAGTAATTTTGTGAACAATCCTTGCATTTATGACCTTCGCAGGTCTCTAAAGCAAAGGAAAGCTGAAGTAACATCATAAGCACAGTTGTGCTTTCATTTAGCAATCATTTCACTTAATGACCAAGTTGCCAGTTCCAACTGTGGTCACTAAACAAGGACTACCTGTAATACAAAGGAAAAGAATGGGAGGTTTTCTCATTTGTGGTCACCTTACAATGCCACAGTCCTGCATTGCCAGGACTGAAATGTTTTTCCCATGGTTGGTAATTTGTAGAACAGAGAGGGTAGCACAGCCAAAGGAATCAACCAATCACTTTGCTTATCACAGGCTGCATATGCAAAATCAGGGCAGCACCATTTGGCAGTGAGTCAGAACAAAGGTGCTGGCAATGGAGGCAGCAAATTTCATATTTTTCGACTGACTTGGGGATGGGTGGCAAGCACTTTAATACAGCAGTGGGGAAGGACCCTGTTTTCTTGCTTTCCTTGTGTGCTTATTTCTCGCCCTCTCTCTCCATCCAGTTTTATCACCCCTTATTTATTTTTATATATATATATA